TTTTATTGCATCTAATTCAAAATTAATTTATAATCATTGAATTTTTTTTTTAAATACTTATGTAAAAAAATTACAAATCTTAAATCAACCCAAACTCTATTATATATGTAGCTCTCCTAAAAGTACCTTCTAAAGAAGGGAATACCATACAAGCCTTAGTTGTTTTCACGACCACAAAATTTGATCAAGAACCAAGAAAATAAAAACCACAACGTCAATGCCGTGGTCGGTGGGACTGAAGGAGGTGACAATTATTTATTTGAAAGTTGTAGAGACAGGCCTTTGATAATCGTGTGATGTGTAGTTTGTTTCTGCGAAAAACGTACGATGAATGCAGGGGATGGACGAACCTCTAATTCTACTCCCCATGTGGTAGAGACAGATCTAACTTTAAATTAAATTTTAAGATAAATTATCTTATTAATTAATTAAGTTAAATAAATAACTTTAAATTTAATTGACAATTTGACACATATAATATCCAATTTTTTGTTATTATAATCAAAGACTTTAAAAAAATTCATGTAAATAAAAAACTAATAAAAAATAATATTATATAATAGTAATATTTAAATTTGAAATTATTTATTCAATCTAATTAATTAATGACATAATTTTTTTAAACATGAAGAATTATAAAAATTCAAGAAATTTTTTAGGTAATTAATGAAAATCAAAATTTTGATTAATTAAATTTAAATATTAAAATTTGAGAACCAATAGTCGAAAGGTCATTCAATTAATGTCACAATTTATTCATTCATTTAATCGAAGAATGAATATATCCCTAGTTACCTTTTTCCTCAATTGAGGGCAATATTGGAGTTTGGCCGCTTGGGAGGTTGGGGGTCCATTCATAGAGATGACACTGCCGACAAATAATCAAAAACTAATTAGTTTAGTTTAGTAATATTTTTTTTATTAAAAATAAAAAATTTTGAATTCAAATATATAACATATAAGTGAAATGAGATAAAAAATAAAAAAATAAAATTATATGCGCAACTAATATAAAAAATAAAACTACCGACAAATAAATATTGTCCACTTTTACCGACATCTGCTCTATCAATTTATTTTAGTGTGTACAGCCAAGGCGTTGGTACATTTTGATATTAAATTTTTAATAATATTAAAAGCCTATTTTTCTATTGAATTGTACGTTTTAAAAGAAAAAACTAATGTGCTAAATTAATGTGCATAAATAAATACTTAATATAAGACTTGAACCCGGTTAAAACCGAGGTTAGAAAGAGATAATTGGGATTCCGACTGCCTCCCTCTACTATAATTTAGCTACCATAAAATCATAAACATTTTAAAAATAAACTTCACACAATATTTTTTTATATTGAAAATTTAAAATTATAATAATAAGACATCACATGAGTGAGTGTAAGTCAATTATAATTATTATTACATAATAATTATAAATTTCCATAATATATTAGTAATTCCTGTAATATATTGTTTCTATATTTATTTATTAATTAAACCCTTAATTTGATTCATAAATTATTGTACAAACCTCGATTTGGTTTTTACTATTTATCAATTTATCTCAAATTAATCTTTTCATATAAAAAAAAACTATTCATATAAAAAAAACTAACGTATTTCATTATTAACGTAATATATAGTTATTAAGTAATTATTTTTTACCGTTAAATAATAAACATGTTAACTTTTTTTATACGAAATTACTAATTTAGAGCTAAATCAGTAAATAGTAAGAATCAAATCGAAAGTTAATATAATAATTTAAAAATTAAATCAAAAACTTTTTTAATTTAGAGACCATATAAAAGTTTATATAATAATTTAACGACCAAATTAGAGATTTAATCTTATTTATTTCCTCTAGAGAAGCTGCCAATTAGGACCCGGAAGGCAAGAGAAAGAAGAATAAAATTTCTGCACGTAAGGGAGTTCACGAGTTCCCGTTCTCTTCCTGTATATATAATATGTACGTAAGTAATGGCGAAGAGCTTAACTTCTTACTAAATAAATTTTGATTCGTGCACGCATGATATACAAGTTGGGTTTAGGCCTTTTAAGTATTCAAGATAAAAAGGAAAAAGTGACAGTTGACATTAAAGGTCGGGCACCTTAGAGGTAGTGCCAGCACTTAGCTAGAGTATGTGTGAATGATTTTTCCCTTTATAGGAAAGACTTTAATTCGTGCACGCATGATATACAAGTTGGGTTTTCGCCTTTTAAGTATTCAAGATAAAAAGGAAAAAGTGACAGTCGACATTAAAGGTCGGGCACCTTAGAGGTAGTGCCAGCACTTAGCTAGAGTATGTGTGAATGATTTTTCCCTTTATAGGAAAGACATTAATTTTGAGTGAAATTAGAACTTCAACTCTAAACCAAACTATATATATTTGCACCCACTGTTATACCTATTCTTCCTTAAATGAGTGTTGCTTAT